ATTTACTGAACGCTTACCATGGGCTGGGCACTGGCCCACGCTCTTTATGCAGATTGTCCCCTAATGGCCCTGCGTGGTGGGCTCCCTTTCCTCGATGAGGAAACTGAGACCCAGAGAAGGAAAGGAGTCCGCCCAAGGTCATATTCCCGGTAGGATGGAACAGACCACATCTGTTGGACTCCAGAGCTGATTCTTAATCAAGTCTGTGGTGGGCAGACTACTGACCACTGTCCCTGAGTCAAGAATACTCCCTCTTCTGATTATAAAAATTCACGCTAATAAAGTGCTTTCCATTTGCAAATTACATTTACATCTGAAATCTCACTGAATCATCAAAATAGCCCAAAGAAGTGGGTCACCATTGAGCACAGGAGCTCACTGAGCTTGAAGGATTCCAGGATTAAGAAGCACTGGCTTGGGAACAGACCACCCTAGGTTCAAACTCTGGCTCGGCCGGCTTCATTCCTTCGACAAATATTTACCGAGCACTTGGCTGTGTACACTCCGACAAGTGACTTCGCCACTTAGCACCTCCATTTATTTCCTGTTTGTAAGAGTCTTAACACCATTCATCAAATCCATTCTCTCCTTCATCTGAGAATGCCAGACACGTGATTTCCCAGGCTTCCCCGTAGAATGAGCATGTGACCTGATCCTGGCCAATGGGATTTAAGGGGGCTCTGGGAAAGGGTTTATCTCAGGGGAAAACATGGCACATAGGATGAGATGCCCCATGTCGCTAGTTGGATATCGTGTGTCAACACTAGAAGGCTGGAACTGGGCAGCCATTTTGTGATATGAGGCATCCAGCCTGAGGCCAAGCCACCTGTAGAAGCTGGAGGAGCCAAAAGATTAAAAAAAAAATCTAGAATCCTGATGGCACAATGGAGCCATTATCCCGAAACCTGCTACCCTGGAACTTCCTGTTATGTGAGATGATACATCTTCCTCCTTATAGAAGCCACTTCGAGTTTTTTATTCTGTTACTTGCAGCCCAAATGGGCAGACTGTCTGGATTGTTGCAGGGATTTCAATGAGATGGTGGGCGTAAAGTTCCACTAATCAGTGCCTGGCACAGTAGACAGCAGCTACTCTGGATACTAAGGAGTTATCTCAGGGCTCAGACCCAGAGATGGCCCTGGGGAGCACAGACGCTCCTAGCCTGGCGAATTAGTCCCCACTCTCTCCTACTGAGAAAGCCTGTAGTTTTCTGAGAAAGCGGAAACCCAGTGGTGGCCCAGCACCGAAACCCTTTCACTCTGTTGGGGCTGACCCCAGTTCCAAACGAGAATCAATCACACTGCCTTTTGCCTAATGGATTTTGATTTTTCGCTCCCCTGACGGCGAAGGCGAGTGCCTGCGCTTCGGTTTGCCTCTGCGTTGCCAGAACAGCCCATCAATTATTAACAGCGACAGCTCAGCCTCCCGGTGCCGCTATCACAAGGAAAGGGTTTGCCGCAGCTCAGCCCACCCAGCCATGCAGAAAGAACTCTGCTCCTCATATTTACAACAACAGGCCGCCCTCCTACCGTGCGATTTGGCAAACACTCACAATGACCCTGCAAGGGGGGCCCTTTTACCTCCATTTCACAGGTGGGGGCTGGGGCTCGGAGCCTGGAAGAACTTGCCTAAGGCCAGAAACTGGGGAGGGTGCTGGAGCCGGGCCTGCACCCCAGGTCTGTTCTCGCTCTTAGATGTGTGAGATTTCTGAATCTCACAACCACTCAGGAATGGTCCTCCATTTTACTCTCTCCTTCTGTGGCCTCTGCGAAGTTTCCACAGGCCTCGCTGCCTGACTGGCAAGGCATCCAAATTGGGGCTGGGGGGTGGGGGGGGGTGAGGTGAGCACAGAGACCTGGGGTGCAGGCAGGCAGTGAGGAAGGCGTGACAGATTCCCCAACCCTGAGACACAGTGACTGGCTGATCGCTTGGTCCATTCATTCATTCTACATGTAGCTGTTTGAGTTTCTCCATGCCAGGCTCCGTGTGCTGGGTGCTGGGCACGGAGCAGTAAATGCAGCTCACAGCGCTCACACTCACGTGTGGGAGAGACAGAGAAACGAAAGGAAGCAGACGTCATTTCAGATGGGGCTCCGAGCCTGTGCAGCGCCGACACTGCGTGATGGGACGGAGACTGAGGGGAAGGGGGCTGTTTTCGACAGGGCCCAGGAGCGGTCTCTCTGAGGATGGGCTATCTGGGCAGGGGCCTGCTTACATGAGGAACGAGAAGCGGCTGGCCGTGAGACAGTGTGAGAAGGAGCATTCAAAGTAGCAGGAACAGCAAGCGCAAAGGTCCTGGGGCAGCAGGATACAGCCTGACCTGTCTAGGTGGGGGCGGAGCGAGTGAGCTAGAGGAGGGTAGAAGCACAGCTCAGAGAGGTCACAGGCCAGGATTCACTGGGGTCGGGGATGCCCTGGTGATGGTTGGGATTTTATTCTGAGTGAGATGGGAAACCTCTGGAGGATGTTGAGCAGGTGAATGATGGGATCCAATTTACATTTTGAAAGGCTCACTCTGGCTGCTGTGTGGGCAGTGGATTGCAAGGGGCAGAAGTAGAAACAGAGAGATCGGGAAGGAGACTACATCACTTATTCACGATGGAAAGAACAGGGTCTTTGAAATCACACTCGAGTTTGAATTTCTGGCTACTCCTGTGTTGCCTGCTGTGTGACCTTAGGCAAGTTACTTAACCTCTCTGAGTCTCCCTATTTGGGAAAGGGGAGATAATAATAGAGAATCAGTATAGGGACTAATTGCGTTGTGATACTTCTTACACAGTGGGTGTTTTTGATCAGTGAGAGTCAGGATTTCTACACTGAGAGCCAATGAGCTGGCCTGCCTTCCCATCTCAGCTCTCGCTGCAGAACATCCTAGACTGTCCATCTGCCAGGAATGTGTGCTGGCTGAGCCTGGGATCACAGAGAGGTCACAAAACTGTCCCTGCAAGTGGATTAACCCAGAGGAGAGAGGAGGCTGTTTATTCCCAAACAGCGTCTTTTGCAAGCCGGAGCTTCCAGATGCCAATCGACACACAGCCTTTGCCTGCGACCCTCCCCTGCTCTGCCCCGCCCCTCACTCTCGTGTCTTAGGGGCCGGGGCGGGGAGGAGGGAGAGTCAAGTCCGGGCCCAGACAGGATGTGGAGGGCAGGGACCTGTGTCAGGCCTGGAAATAGCAAAATAAGTCTGTTGATCCTAAGCCGGTTAAGGGTGAGTGACTTTGTCTTAAGAGGGAGGCATTTTGGACACAAAACCTGGGGCAGGATTATGGCCAGAGACAGCCCGCAGCCTCAGAAGAGAGAAATCAGGCCCCGGGATCTGTCCTCTTCAAGACCCAACAGGGGAGAGGGAAAACCTGCGGGCTTTCCTCCACGCTCCTGCCAGTTAGCCCCTCCTGCATCCTGCACCCCCCCTCCCAAAATGTCTCCTTGGGTGGTCAGTTCTGGGGAAAGGACCCCACAGGGTCCCCTTCAGACCTGGCCCTGCAACTGAGCCTTCGCGAGGAGCTAACCGAGCCCGGGGGTCCCACACAGTGAGAGGCCAGGCTGGCTGAAGGCGGCCCTGGCTAGGACATCATGGCTGCCACGCAGGCTCCCTTCTCCTTGTTTCCTCTTCTTCCACGAACACATCGACCCTACCCCCCACCCCCACCCTGCTTTTTTGGCTCCGCTCTCAGAGGGCGAGTTATGTTCAACACGTCTTTTCCAACTTGGTCCTCCTGGATTGTGACATCAACACCTCCCTTTTCTGGCCTCCCCCTGGGCCCCAGATGAACTCCTCGATGGGGCTGCACGCACCGTGCTGTCCTTTATTCTGACATCTAGCATACCGGCCACAGGAAGGCAGGCCCCTGTCTCTTCAAGGCAGCCCCAAACCCCTGTAGGACACAGAGAAGTTGCTCCCATTCTGGCCTAGCCTCTCTGAGTCCCTTACACCCTCAGCCTTTACCCGGCACCACACAGACCCCCCGGCCCCCGGGGGGGTAATAAACTCATCCCTGCCTCCTGATTTATTGTCCACATTGCCTCATTCTTCCCTCCTGTCTTGAAGTTTACATCTCCTTCCAATGGCGAAAGCATCTTTACAACCTGCATCAAACCCTTCTTGGAATAAACTCACCACATAAATAAAGAGCAAATCAAGGGGTGACCCTTCTTCAGCCACAAGCATCCACAACCAGCCGCATGCGTCACGCACACGCACGCCCGCCCACCCCTCAGAGTCCCTTTGCCTCGTTTTCCTTACTTATGTGAAAATGGCCTGGCCCTGGCCGGTGGGTGGCTCAGTTGGTTGGAGCTTGTCCCACACACCGAAAGGTTGCAGGTTCGATTCCTGGTCAGGACATATACCTAGGATGTGGGTTCGATCACCCGTCAGGGCCCACATGGGAGGCAACAGATCAAAGTCGTCCCCCACTCCGGCCCCACCCTTTCTCGCTCTCTAAAATCAATAAACATATCCTTGGGTGAGGATTTAAAAATAAAAAACTGAAAACAGTATCTCAACGTCCTCCAAGCAAGTCTGTAAGCTGCTTTCATTCCCTCCTTGAGGCGAAGCGGGGTTATACATTTAGGGGTAAATGAAAATCGCAGGGTGACACCCTGCCAGCCTGGGCCTGGGCCTGGGCCTTCACAAGGGAGCGTTATGTCCAGGAGACCAAACACGGCTCCGTACCCCGCCCCAGCAAGGCTGAACTGCTTCTCTGTCCTCTCTCCCGCATTTGCAACATCCATCTCCTGTTGTGTGGGTTTTTGTACGTCTCCGTGAATCCCTTTCTCCAACAAAGTCAGGGTATAAAGTGTTGCATAATAGAAGGATGGGGCGACCGATACCACATAGGATCCTTGGAAGGGGTCGGTCCTTGTCTCCAAGGTCTCTGGCTATAGCCCCTCCCCGTTCCTGGTCTTCCTATTTGAAGACCAGAGTCCCCCCAGCAGAGATCCTTAACCTGGGTACGCAGGCGGAGTCCTGCAGCCCAGCAGCCCCCAGATCCCGGGCTCACCTTGGCAGCCACAGAGGAATTGGGCTTCTCCAGGAGGTCCCAGAGCTTTTTCCTCTTCTCCGCGCAGCACGTGTTGTCGAACTCCTCGCCCTCCCGCTCGCGCAGGGTCTCGGCCTCGCGCTTGAGCTCCTCGTTCATCTGCTCCTTTTTCTGGTGGTAGCGGGCCTGGCAGCAGGACTCCAGGTAGATTTCGTCGATGCCCCAGTAGTCCAGCTCTTGGCTGAAGCTGAGCGCGCACATCTCCTCCATCATGTGCAGCCGCCCGGTGCGGTAGAAGTTGAGGATGGAGGTGAAGGCTCCCGGGTGGCGGTCGAAGAAGTACTCGTTGTCGTCGAGGCTGTAGTCGTCGCACACTTCGAGCAGCGAGTCGTGCGTGTTGCAGTCACGGAGCTTGCCCAGCCGCGTGCGGGGCAGGCGGTCCAGGGTGCGCCAGAGTACCTCGTGCGCCAGGCCCCCAACGTTGAGGCGGACGCGCCTAGAGCACGCCTTGCTGCGCACGATCTCCATGGGCTCCGGCGGCAGCGAGCTGGTGGAGCGGGAGCCATGCTTCGTCATGCCCGCCGGCATCTCTGGTCCGGCCGCCCCCTCCCCCCCTGCCCCCCCAGGCCGCAGTCACTGGACGGCAAGGCCGGCCGCCGTGGGGGAGGGGGGCAGGGAGCGCTGTGGGCTGTTGGGGGTGCAGGGGGCCACGCGGGCGCGCGTTATGGCCGTCTTCTCACCTCCATCCCGACGGCTGCGAGGCAGAAAGTGCACGCAGGTAAACAAACAGGAAGGCACGGCCCCTCCCCACCTCTCCAGCGGGGCCCCACCTGGGCCCCAGCTGGCCTTGACCTTCCCGGTGCTTAAGCAGCTCAGGGGGGCAGAAAGCCTGGGCGCTGTCCCTCCCGCCGGTGCTGAAGTCCGCCCCACCCCATGGATGGAGTGACTGGCCACCCTTTGGAGCGGGGAGGGGGCCCCCAAGAGGCGCCCCAGGGACCCGGGAGGCCCCACCCGGGTTTCTGAGGCCCAGGCCTGACCCAGCCGCCCGGGGCGCTGTCCGCCCCTTCGAGTGCTGAAACTCGCTTTTCTCTGGCTATCCCTGTCGAGTCTCGAACCTGGCCCCAAAATGGGGAGAGAGGGGAGCTGCGTGAAAAACTTTTTTTTAAAAAAGACTTTGCATCTTTTCCTCCCCACGTTCCGGGATAATTAGAATCTGAAGGCTGGGGATGGCAGATGGCAGCAGGTTTGATTTTTCTAAACCTTAAAAGATTTGGGGGAATTCTGCAGGATTTCAGGTGCCCACCTGTCGGAGGTCACAACAGACTGTGTGGTCACGACAGCCCCGCACTGTCGTGGAGCGACCCCTCTCCCCAGGCCACGGGAGTATCTCTTGAGGTCGCTCCCGCGACAAGATGAACCCTGAAGACGCAAAGCGCTGGTTCCCACACCGCCCTCCCAGTGCCCCTAACCCACCGCAGGAGGAGCGCGGAGTCCTGGGGACCCACCTGCTCCGTCTTCCCCTCGATCCTTCCCCGCCCCCTTCTCCTCCTCCTCCTCTTCCTCCTCCTCCTCCTCGCTCCTCTCCTGCGATGGCTTTTTATAACTCCGGGTTCTGCGCCTTTCCCGGGGCTTAGAAGGGAAGGGGTGGGGGAGGTAGGAGGCGGGGAAACGAGCTGGATTTTCTGGCCTTTTCAAAACGTGCCCTCCTCCTGCTTGCACTGGTGATTTCGGGGGCTCCTCTGAGCCCCCTGGCAGTGGAGCTCGCGCCCTCTCCCCTCGCCCAGGAACGATATCATGCGTCTCCCCAAGCCCCCAGCCCCTGTCCGCACGCCCCCCGCCCCCACCCACCCCAGCCTGGAGCCGCGGAGCCTGGGTAGACCAACAGGCCGAGCCGCGCCGTAGGCGAGTCCCCCACTCACGTCCCCCTGCGCCCTCGCCGCGGGCCGCACTCCCCAACACTCACCCTCAGGGCGGCCGCCTCCCGGGGCCAGGGACCGCGCATCGCCCCGGCCGCCGGAGCACCCCGGCCCGCGGGCAGCGGCGGACCCGGGGCCCGGCCGGGCCCGGCCTACGCCGGCCGGCCGGGCAAACGCCACGCCGGGGCTGCAGGCGCTGCGAAGCCGGACGCGCTCTACGAGGCTGGGGGCGCAGGCGGACGTTGCGGGCGCGGGTGGCAGGACCGCGTTCGGGAGGCGACTCCTGCTCCACCTCCTCCTCCTCCGGCTCCGGCGGTGGTGGCGGAGGCAGCGGCTGCTTGGGCGAGATCAACAAGTCGGGGCTGAGCTTCGGCTCCGCGTTCACTGCGATTCTGTCCCGCACTTCAGAGCGCCCGGAGTCCAGCACCGAGGCGGGACGGCGCCACCTGCGGGTAGCAAGCGTGCGCGTCGCTTAACTCCTGCCTGCCCGGCCTGGCAGGCTGCCGAGCTTGGGGGCGGGCTGCTGGTTTGGGCGAGGAGGAGCCTGGCAGTCCCTAACCTTTCCACCTGGGCTACCTCCACTGCCTTCCTGGCAATCCCGCCTTCCTTAGTGGCATCAACAGCGTGAGGTGAGTGCCTACTGTGTGCAAGACACTAGGATAAACGTCTGAGATTCCGCTGTGAACCAAACCCAAACGCTGGGCACCTGGGCACCTCATGGAGCTGGCTGGAGACAGAGAGAAAACAAAGGCAAAGGATGTCCCAGGGCCATGCGCGCTCCGGGGGTAATAGAGCAAAGGACAGGGATAGAGGTGGGGGCTGGGGTCAGGTTGCAATTTTAAATAGCCCTTGCTTTCATGAGTTTCCATTCTAGGTTCTAAAATGTAATTCTAAAATAGATTCTCGTGGGGGGGTGTGGACAACGAATGCATCAACCAATGCACAATGCGGCAGTTGGCCGTAACTGCGAAGAAGAAAAATAAAGCACGGTGAGGGGGAGAGAGAGTGAGGGGTGAGCTGGTTTATCTAGCCTGGTCATTCATTCATTCACTCATTCACGTTATGATGGACAGCTAGCTGCTGAGAGCTTCCTGTGCACCAGGTCCTGTGGCAGGCCCCGTAAAAGAGATGACTTGCCCTGGAGATTCCTGTCCCATGGGGAGGGGGAGGCGGAACTGATCCACAATCCCCCCGAAGTGAATAGAGGACCCAAGGGCTTACCCGCAGAGGCCAGCCAGCTTTTCCTAAGGATGTCACAGTTACCCCTCCGCCACCACTCACTCCTTTATTCTTTCACACGCACATTTACCGCATGACACGTGAACAGGCCGAGGGACACGGCAGTGAGCCCCGGGCCCTGGAGGAGAAAAGCTGTGAATAAGCCAATAGAGGCCTCAAGGGAAGATTCTCTCCCTCTCTGACCCTTTCCTTCATCTGTAAATATAAAGGGATTTTGTCCCTCATAGAGTCGAACATATTATTACATGGCTTTAATCTGTTCACTTCTCGTGACCCTTGTCCAAGGTGCCGTCATCTTGCGGGCAGAGGCCAGAGATGTGGCTAAAAACCCTCCAGCACGTAGCACAGGCCAGCACCATAAAGAATTCTGCAGCCCTGCATGGCAACAGCGCCAAGGCTGAGAAACCCGGGATTAATTTAACAGAATGCTACGGCATGTCCCGGTCTGGAAAGGCTATTCTTTCCGCCAGCAATTAGTGATGAGCACCTACTATGTGCCAAGCACTACTGTAGACACTGGAGATACACTGAGGATAAAAAAGGCAGTCCTTATGCATAGTGTGGCAAGGAATGCAGTTAATAAACAATAAAATAAATGAACTGATCATTTAGATTATGATAAATGCCATGAAGAAAGGAAACAAGAGGAAGTGAAAGAGCATGCCTGAGAGAGGGTCAGCAACTTTAGATAGGGTGGTCAGGCAGGGAAGGCTTCCCGGAGGAGGTGATACATCCAAGCTGAGAACCTGAGGGCGGGAAGCAGACAACTGTGGCAAGTTCTGAGGAAGGGCATACAGGCAAGGGAAACAGAAAGAGGAGCAGCCCTAAGAGGGAAACGAGCTTGGAAAGGGGGGTTACAGAGGTGGGCAGGACCAAGCCGTGCATGCAAGCTTCCCTGGGATTTTTATACTAAAGGTTAAGGAATGAGTTCGAGCTTAGAAATCACGATGAAAAGCCATGACAGAGGTTTAAGCAGAAAAGCCCCATGTGCTGAGATACGCCTTGAAGTGGTTCTTCCTGCTGCTGTGTGCATTGTGGAGTGTCAGCAGGAAGACCCACCAGGAGGTTTCTGCGACTGCCCAGGCCAGTGGTAATGGGGTCTGGACTGGGACAAAGGTGGTGGGGTTGGCTGGGCAACGTCACGGCCATGAGGCTCTGCCAGCAGAGACTCCTTCGCCAAGGCCAGCACTGGATACTCCATTCCATGCAGATTCTTCCCCCTGGGTGGCCTGATTCCTGAACTTCTGGCTGCAGATTCCAATGAAGAACATCTGGATCCTCCCAGATCTCGGAAGTGCAGACGAATGGGAGCAGCTCTGTCACTTTCCGGCCAGCAACCCTGTTGCCGCAACGTGTCCGTTCATTTGCTCAACGAGGATTCAGTGCCACCCTGCTCAGGAAGACGGTGCAGCCAGCCTAGTGGCTACGAGTGCAAGCTCTGGAGTCAGAATGACTGGTGTCGCTACTTATGTGCAGAACGGCCTTGGGCAAGAAGTCTAATCTTTCTGGGCCTCAACTTTCTGTAAAATGGGGATGGAAATAAAGAGAGTAGTACCTGCTTGACAGGGTTCTTATGAGAAACTTATAGAAATCACTCAAGTGTTAATAGCTCTCATTATCTGGTAAGCTGCAGGCTACACAAGGGCCGGAGCTGCTGTCTTGCTTATCTCAGGTAACAGAATCCTTAACTAATAGGGGCCTAAAGAATAAGGATATTTAGTTATCTCACATTAGAATTCAGAGAAGGCTGGTATGAGAGTTGATTCAGCAGCTCCACTGTGTTATTAAGGGCCCGGATTTCTTCCATCCTTTTGCTCTGTCTTCTACACTATATTGGCTCTTTATCCTGGGCTTGTTGCCTCAGAGTCACAAAGTGGCTGCTACCACTCCTTGCATCAGTCTCCGTAAAATTATTTTCCAAGGCAAAAGGGATAATATGGCAAAGGTGGCCAACGAGAGTTCTTCTGTCATGCTTCTCTCTTTTTCTGACCATCTCCCCACCCACTGCCAAGTTCCTTACCATGGGTCACATGGCCACTCCTAGACCAATCATTGACAAGAAGAATAGGACTGACCCCCCCAGGGCTAAATTCACCACTGCCCTTACAGAACTGAAGTTTGTTGGACAAGGAAGAAGTGAAGATAGAAGTTGGGTCGACAACCAACAGTGTCTGCCACACTGTTCTTCTACGGCCCAGCACAATGCCAGGGACAGAGTAACTGCTCAATAAATATTTGCTAAATGAATAAATAATCCTCTTATCTTGAGGGCATATATCAGAAACTTATGAATAAGACACACCTCTGACCTCAGAACTGTCCAATCCTATTTGTGGGGGTGGCAACAGGTATACAGAAATAAAATTGGCAAAAAGCTCTCTTATTGTTCCCTCCCTGACTCTAAGTCTTTAATAAGGAGACTGACTCCCTGAGATGATTCACAGCTTCAAGTCAGCTAAACTGATATTTGTGTACAGCCTTAAAAAGGAAGGAAGGAAGGAAGGAAGGAAGGGAGGAAGGGAGGAAGGGAGGGAGGGAGGAAGGAAGGGAGGGAGGAAGGTTGGGAGGGAGGGAGGGAGGGGGACATGGCGAGTGTGTAAGCAGTGTTCCGGTCCTCTGGGCAATCCTGTATGACCACTAGCAGAGGTCAGGAGCTGGTGATTTTCAGACTTGTGTTGTTTGACCATCAAGTTTTTGTTTTGTTTTTTAAAATTTGAGTCAAGATTTAAATATTAGAGGCATTGACATAAAAATCTGGATTTCCGGCTCCTCTTGAAAAATTAGAGGAACTCGTTAACCCTGGGCCCGCATTCCAGTGCAATGCAGAAATTTCGGCTGGTGCAGAGCAGGGACTGACTGCCCTTGAGTCACAGCTGCCCCCTTCAGGCAGGATGCAGTCTCCAGTGCGCGGCGGTCTCTGCCTCTCCCCACTGCTTCTCATTCAGGACACTTTCTCATTTTGTTACTTGCTGGTCTTGGTATGACTTTAAGTCTGTGCTCCTTGCGCACAAAGACCAAAAAAGTCCAAACAAGTTGTCTTGCCTCCCTCTTGTTCCTCAAACTCTGCACAGTGCCCAACTTGGAATTTTTCTTTTCTAAATGAAAAGACTATATATGTCATTTGGAAGCAAGAGGTATTCATTTCCTAGAATTTTCTGTCATCATAATTGGAGAGACTACCTAGAAATACAGACAATCCGGGGGAAAGTAGAGCCCAGAGACTGAGATACTGACTCCTGATCACGTCCTCAGAGCTCCTGGATCCAGTCATACCTGAAGGAGTGCCCTCTGGATTTTCCAGCCACGTGAGCTTGCAAAAACCCCTTTTCACTTAAGCCATTTTGGGATGTGATTTTCTCATGTATGTCCCAAAGAGCCCAACAGATCCAATGTTCTCTCTACTAATCAGAAGCGTATCATCTCTTTATAATGTACTTCTAACAAACAGGGAAAAAAAAAAAGAACTTCCAGGAAACAGGGAAAAGAGAGTAATAAAGCTCAGAAGGTTCGATAAAGAAGAGTTCAAGTGTAACCACCTAATTTTACAGATGAGAAAACTAAAAGGCTCATCGAGGGGAACAGCAGCCCAGTTTTCTAAGCAACGAGTGGGCAGCCGAGTGCCAGGACCAGGTCACAAAGTGTCTCCTGCTCAGGCCTCTGAGACTTCCCCGAAGCTGAGCGAGGGCAAGTTGGCGCAATTCATCCATGTAAATACAAGTGAACCCCCCCTCTACATTGTGCTGGCAAGAGACGTGTCCATTTGAAGTCAGATTTTTTTTCTTGGACTCCATAATGCCAGCCATTACTTATTTATAATCCCACCGAGTGTCCTACTCAGGTTTCTCGACACTCTGGGCACGGAGCAAGACTAATTAATCCCCACTTCCCTCTCCTCCGTGGACCCCTGGGAGGGAATAATTGCTTTATGAGGGAGGGTATCGGGGGACCCAAAGGCTCAAGGGAAATCATTGACGTCTCTAAGTGGAAGTCACTCAGGACCACTGCCCTTTGCTGCGGTCTTACCCAAAGTTCCGGCAGCCCCAGGGGTGTTTCCATCAGCCTGGACTTCAGTCTCCTTGCCCATCTCTCTTCTTGCCACACCCCATAATAATCATCATAATCATGGGGGAAATTGGGTTAGAGAGAGTCTGCCTTCTACAG